TAAACCCTAAACCCTAAACAGATGGAAGTCCAGAAGTCGCTGAGGTGGCACGCTGTTGCGAAAGCCACCCAGGAAGCGCTGCGGCGTCGGAGCCTGTATGGGGGTTCAGGGATTGGGGTTTAGGGTTTAAGGTTTAGGGTTTAGGGTTTAGAGTTTAGGGTTTAGGGTTTAGGGTTTAGGGTTTAGGGTTTAGGTTTCGGGTGTAGGGTTGAGGGTATCGGGTTATTTAGAGTTTGGGGTTTCTTAGGGTTTCGGGCTTAGGGCTTAGAGCTTCGGGCTTAGTGTTTGCGGTTCAGGGCTGCGAACTCCTATCAGCAGCAACACGAAAAGCACCGCTCCTACCTACCGCCACCATCAGCATCAGAGTTGTTTCTGTTAAGGTTATCGCTCCATCACAAGACGAAAGCACAACCGCATAAACCTCAGAAACGGCATCGCCTATAATTGCTTGCAGAGGTGGGAACACGGACAAAACCGAAGCAACGATCATTGTCGCAGTGGTATCATGTATGCAGTAAGATGATGAGTATGATCACCCAAACCCTAAACCCTAAGCCCTAAACCGACCACCCATCACCAGCGCCATTATCATGACATTGACAGAATGTGCCATTTTTAGGGCTGATCTTCTCATGATGCTTTTGGCTTGGGAGTCAAAGGTCCGAGGATCTTGGGAGAATCACTTACTGCGTGAGTTTAGGGTTTAGGGTTGTGGGCTTTGGGTTTTGGGTTCAGGGCTTAGGGAGAACCGTTTGGGGTTTAGGGTTTACGGCTTAGGGTTTAAGGTTTGGGGCCTAGGGGTTGAGGTTTGGTGCCTCAAGCTTCCGAGGAGAACAACAACAAAGCCTCGAAGCACTGATATCAAGGAACCCTAAACCCTAAACCCTAAACCCTAAACCCTAAACCCTCAACCCTAAACCCTAAACCGAAAAACAGCAAAAACGTATGGACCCAAGTCCTCGGCAGTAATCACAAAAATGGAATCCAACCCTAAACCCTAAACCAAAAAGTGTGTCAAAATATAAAAACAAACCCAAACGCCAATCCTGAGCCCTGAACCAGAAACCCTGAATGTAAATGACAGGTGCCCCTGGAATCACATGATCTCTTCTACAACATAAGCCATGGAACAAGACAATATGATATAAGATAATGTCGTAGAGCATAATATCTCCCATGTTATAATATGGAATGGCCTGGTATAGTATATCATACTAGGGCTTGTGCCTTCTTCTTCCCTTTGGGGACCTGCGGAAAAAAGGCACGGAGCCTGCGAAAAGGCCTGCTTGTTCACAGGTGCGGGCTGCGGCGGCTGCGGCCGTAAGACCTCTCAGCACCCAGGGTTGACGGATTGGTGTTCCAGGCTTCAGAGTTCGAAATTAGGGTTTAGGATTTAGGGTTTTAGGGAATACGCAGGATTTCACTGGGGTCAAGGGAACAACGCTTAGGGCATCGAGTTTAGCTTCGCAGCTTGAGAGGGGATGAACACGAAGCAAGGGTTTAGGGTTTAGGGTTCAACCCTACATCGCACACCCAACCAAAAACAAAACACAAAGACAACGAAAGCCCACAGCCCCAAATCTAAAAGCCCTACACTCAGAACCCCACCCCTAAACCCTAAACC